CCAGGCTGGTCTTGAATTTAGAGCGATCCCTCCTGCCTCAGCCTTCCAAGTGCTGGGATTACAGGTGTGCACCGCCACACCCGGCTCCTTTTTGTTTTTTTGAGACAGGGTCTCATGAGTTGCCCAGGCTGGCCTCGGACTTGGGATCTTCTAGCTTCCGCCTTTTATTTATGTGTTTATTTTTATTTTTGGTACTGGAGATCCAACTTGGGACCTTGTGCTTAAGAGGCAGGCCATGGCACCACTGAGCTAAATCCATGGCCCTAGCTTTAGCCTTTTTTGTTGAGGCTAAGAGTGCTGTGTGGGCTGGCCTAGAACAAGGGCTGTTTTCTTTATCTCTCGTTGTAACTGGAGGTAGGTGAATATATGAATAGATTACAGATGCGCTCATTATTACTGAGAAATCTGTGGGATCAAATAGTGTTTTTCTGATATATTCAAGGCCTATACCAGTATTGAGTTTGTTTACATGGAAGGCATTAGGGGAAAATCATTCTGAGAAGATGCTTGTAAATTTTGAGCTTAGGGTATTTTTGTTTCACAATGTTTTTCAGGCCTCTATCCTTTCTCTGGTGACAAAAATAAACAATGTGATTGACAATTTGATTGTGGCTCCAGGGACATTTGAAGTGGTGAGTTTTCGATAACTTAGTTCTAAGAAAGGATAGTTTTGTAGTGTGGGAATTTGTTTTTGCCCTGTCTCAATTTTTTCAGATGCCATTTACCCAAATTCAAACCTAAAGTGGAAAAATTCAGTGAAATTAAACTCTGGAATTTCTTTGTAGTACTGATCTTGGGGCAAGATTTTGTATTATTGACAGCTAGACGGTGATATGTCAAGCTTTTATGTGATTGTTTTGGGGATGATTATACCAGTGCTAATCCCAAATCTGGGTCATAAGAAACTATTGGTTAAGTTTTGAGAGGAAGCAGGCAACTTTTTTCTTCTAAAAGTTTTGTTTTGAAATCCCTTTTCTACTAGCAAATTGAAGAAGTCCGACAGGTAGGATCATATAAAAAGGGAACGATGACTACAGGACACAATGTGGCTGACCTGGTGGTCATACTAAAGATTCTCCCAACATGTGAGTGTACCTCTTTTCTCTTTGTTCGTTTGTTTTCTGGTGCTAGGGATGTAGCCCAGGCCTTGTGCATGCTAGGCAAGTGCTGAGGTACATTGCCAGCCTACCTCTCAGACCATGGAAATAGAATATAACAGTTGGGGTTGGGAGCCTAGGAAATCTTTAAAAGCCAATATTTTTGTGTGTGAAAAATGATGTTTGGGAGACCAGTAGGAGTTACTGAAGGGGGCCAGTACTGGAGATGGAACCCAGGGCCTTCACATTGAGCACATTTCCAGGCACCCCATCCCACCCCTAGTTCTTCACTTTGAGGTAAGGTCTTGCCTAAGTGCCCAGGCTGGGCTTGGACTTGCAGCCGTTCTACCTCAGAGTCCAAGAGTCCTGGGATTGATTACAAGCATGTGCCACCATGCTGGGTAGAGATTTTTTTTTTAATTTGTATTGGGGTGATAGGGATAAACTAAACTCTGTAGTGTGTGTCTGAAAAAAATGTATGGCCAGTACTGTGGGGCTATATTTCTCAAACAGAAGCTATTTTGCTCCCAGGGGACATTTGGCAGTGTCTGGAGACTTTTTTGCTTGTCACAGCTGGCACCTGGCAGGGAACTGGCATTGAAAGGGAATAAACTCACTGATCAACACCTGTAATTCCAGCTACTGAGGAGGTTGAGGCAAGAGAATCACAAGTTTGAAGCCTAGGACAACCTAGTGAGACCCTATCTCCAAATACACAAAAGTGGATGGAGATGTAGGTCCTTGCTCCTAAATTCAGTCCATAGTACTATCCAAAAAAAAAAAAAGGTGGGGAGAGGGGAGATGTTGCTAAACATCTTACAATGCCCAGCACAGATACTTCATTCTGTGAAGAACTGACCAGCCCAAAATGTTAAATGCCACTAACCAGCAAAACCCTGCTATGATTTGAGCATGAAGGAGATGAGAGTGCTGGATAGTGTAGATGTACATAGAACGTCCGCATAAACAGATTACTGTAACATCACTGTCTCCTCTTCTGTCATCTAGTGGAAGCTGTTGCTGCCCTGGGGAATAAAGTTGTGGAAAGCCTAAGAACACAGGATCCTTCTGAAGGTTTGAGTTTGTTGCTGAATGTGTAATTGGTGTCAGTAGGAGAAAGGTCCTGTTATAAACACATTTTCAACAAAGTTACGTCAGGTTCTATGGTTGTCAGTGCACTTTTATGTTCTGAAAATTTTTTGTAGGGTCTCAGCATTCATAATCCTTACCCTCCTTTTGAAACTCTACGCTAAATTCTCATTCTGAACTCGTTTTTAAAAACCCGTATATTAAAAGAAAAAAAAAGTCTGTCTTCCCTGACTGTCATCCTGTATTTAAACATTGGTTTTCTAATGAAAATGTGAATTATAGCTTTTGATTATTTTCTTACAGTTTTGACCATGCTGACTAACGAGACTGGTTTTGAAATCAGTTCTTCCGATGCTACAGTGAAAATTCTCATTACAACAGTGCCACCCAATCTTCGAAAACTGGACCCAGAACTCCATTGTTAGTTTTTTTTTTTTTTTTCCATTGCTGGTAAATATGGGGGAAATCTAAAAATGGAATTATTGAGTTCAGTCAGCTTTTTGCTATTCATTATGAAGCTTTCTGAAAATTGAAAGACTTGGCCTGAACTTTGCTCTCCCTCTTTAACTTTACCAACTTCTTAGTAAAATTTTTGAAGACTCAAGATGACTAAGAAAACAATTGGGAGGGCCCAGCTGTGCCTACCTTGCAAGCGAAAGTTCCAGAGTTCAATCGCTGGTACCCGGAAAAAAACAAAATAGTTGGGAGACTGAAAAAGAACTATGGAAATATTTATGGAAGCGGGGGATAGATTCTTTTAACACATCAAGGATTTGGTTAGGAGGAGAACACGATTTGGTTAGGAGGAGAACTACTTTTTGGACAAGTCATGTGCAGATAGGAACATAGGGTAGTTAAACGAATTGCTAAATTAGCTTGCCCTCCTTCCAGGTTTTTACACCATGGCAGTGGGCTTGAATTACCTGCTTACTAATAATAGAAACGTTTGATTTTGGCCTGTCATACTTCTAGTGGATATCAAGGTGTTGCAGAGTGCCTTAGCAGCCATTCGACATGCCCGCTGGTTTGAGGAAAATGCTTCTCAGTCCACGTGAGTGTCACCCTGATCATTTGTATTATAACCTTTCTTAGCTGTATTGAATAGCAGGATGCCCTCATACTTCTGTGACAACTATTTTGTTTATATTTTTATTGTAGTATATAATGAGTACATTTAGCATGGAGAGTTGGTACCTGCACATAACACATCTTTTTTTTTTTTACTTCCTGCCCCAGCTGGCTGACCTTAACCTTAACCTTGAGGCAGTCTTCTGCCTTAGCCTAAGTGTACATCAACATGCCCCGCTGATCTTACTTGTAATCCTTGGGTTTTCTCTTACATTTAGAGTTAAAGTTCTCATCAGACTGCTGAAGGACCTGAGGATTCGTTTTCCTGGTTTTGAGCCCCTCACACCCTGGATCCTTGATCTACTTGTAAGTAAAGAAGGGCAGTGGAGTTCTTCTGTTGCTGTTATTTCATTATTGTGATAAGTTGGTTGGAAAAGACTAGATGAAAAGCCATCTCAGAATTTCTTAAGGTGAAAATGTTGGCTAGACCTTAAGTAGTTTCTCTCATGATTTGTTTGAAGATAGGTGTACATCCGAGGTACAATTCTAACAGCAGTTCTTTTCTAGGGGCACTATGCTGTGATGAATAACCCCACCAGACAGCCTTTGGCCCTAAATGTGGCATACAGGTACAGCATGCTTTGGGTTTGGGGGCCAGCTGTAAGCTCTTCTGTGCATTTTTAACACCTTCTTATATTTTAGGCGTTGCTTGCAGATCCTGGCTGCAGGTCTGTTCCTGCCAGGTTCAGTGGGTATCACTGACCCTTGTGAGAGTGGCAACTTTAGAGTACACACAGTCATGACCCTGGAGCAGCAGGTATTGGGAAAGTTATGGAATGGTCTGTTCTGCCCTACTTTCGGATGATTCTAGTCAAAAGGCTCTAGTTCTCAAAGATTTTGGTCCTGAGATCACATTGGTCCTCAGTTTTGTTTTCTCAAGGATGTTAGTCACATAAGGTACTTTCTCTTTGCTAATTTGAATTCAATGTTGTTCTCCTTCAGGACATGGTATGTTACACGGCTCAGACTCTGGTTCGAATCCTCTCACATGGTGGCTTTAGGAAGATCCTTGGCCAGGAGGGTGATGCCAGCTGTGAGTGCCCACTGTGGGTTGGGTTTTTATGGTATTCTGTTCTAGATGTCTTAATACAGCTGTAGTGTAAGCCATGACTTGTTTGCTGGCTCTGTGTCTGGAATAAGCTTTTTTTTTGTCTTCTAGATCTTGCTTCTGAAATATCTACCTGGGATGGAGTGATAGTGACACCTTCAGAAAAGGCTTATGAGAAGCCACCTGAGAAGAAGGAAGGGGAGGAAGAGGAGGAGAATACAGAAGAACCACCTCAGGGAGAGGAGGAAGAGAGCATGGAGACTCAGGAGTGACCTTCCCTTCACTCCCTTTCCTCCTCGAGGGAAAGACTGGAGCCTCAGCTGGCTGCCCCTGGGCTTTATTTAGTGGCATCTATGGGGTAGGGGAGACAGCAAGAACAATCTCTACAGAAAGACATGTCATTCCATTGGATTCTGATACTGGCTTAGCAGCCAGAGGTCTCACATGACTTACACCACCCATTGATGATGTATCTATGATACCGACGTTTCTTCCTAATACTCTAGAATCCCCAATACCCAACAACCCCTGTAACCAGTACTCTGTTGTTGAAATGTTGTGAACTGTTTTAAGTGTCTGGAGATTTTTTTTTTCTAAGAAAAATTATTAAAGTACTTCCTAGTAGGGTTCTTGGTTTTGTTCTTACTTGGTATGTGGTAACTTTTTTGCTTTTTATACTCTAATTGAAAATGGTACTTGAGTCTTTCCTTATCAGCATATCACAACATGAAATTATTTGGAATAAAATAGATTCCTGGAACCTTTCCACATAACCAAAGTAAACTAGAATACTGTTTCAGCATTTATTGAATGGTTCTAGCTTTACTGCTACTGTATTCAAGCCAGTGCAATCAACAAGGGTGAACAGAGGCTGTCCTCTGAATTCTTGGTGTAAACAAAAGAATAAGCCACAGAGGGCATGTGCCTAGGTCTAAGTAACCAAACGTAACAAAAGGGTGCTCCACAGGGTAACTAGGCCTGAAAAAGGCGAGGCTTTGGAAAAATGTAGAGGCCTCAGCTTATTCTTGGAAGCAAAGAGTTACAGTGTGAGTCCTTTGGGAGCCCAAGTGTTGCTTTATGTAGGTTTCTTAAGGTCCCTACATGAACGAGTGCTTCAGGCAAACCACAGGGGTGCCTTTTTGGTGGCTGAAGGTCTAGAGATTCTTCTGGAATCTCAAGACTGGAGACAAGGCAGCTGGGGATGCTACTTGTGCCACTTAGGTCACATACCCATCTTCCGTTACTTGCTTGGGGAGCCAGGGGGATAAACTCCTGCATCCAGCATTGCCCTCCTTCGGGCTGTTTCCTTGGCAACACTATGGTTTAGCCGCCGCAGTCGTTCCTACAAGACAGGAAGGTTTGGGTCGGATTGCTGTGAAAGGCTTCAGGTGGTCGGGCTGGGTAGATACTGAGAAATATCTTGAGCTTAGTGTGTTTCTGTCTTGTGAAGTACAGGTTGGTTGGTTTTTGGTACCAGGGATCGAACTTGGGTCCTTACACTTGCAAAGCAGGTGGCAGAACCACTGAGCTAAATCCCTGGCCCACGGTGAGAATGTGAATTGACAGCAACTGTGCATGAAGACTTCTTTATTACAGCTGATATTAGAGGAAAACTCCCTTGTGTTGACCTACAAAGTACGGCAAAAAACCGCTGTTAGGAGATTCTTTACCTGGGCATTCTGTAGAATGTTGTTGACCAAGACGACTCGACGCCTGGCATTAAGCAGCTTCTTAACATAGGGGTCCAGATCTAGGGCCACCTTCTGATCCTCATTGATTCGGCACAGTTCTAGGGGTGGAAAAATGATGCAACAAAATGGTTCATGTTTGGTTCTCGGGGAAAGTAGGCTAGACTGGGGGGGAAACACCTGCATTTAAGTGAGCCACAGTCACCTCCCCTTAGCTCCCTTCCACTCCTTTTCCCAAGACATTCCTGCAAGGAGTCCTTTGGCAGCCCTGGTGTTCTGGCTGCAAGTGACAAAACGTAGCCCAGAGATGAGCAAAATACACAGGTCCTGAACAAGTGGGGGAGGTTTTCTGTTACATGTGCTTTGCACTCACCTGTAGCAAGGTTGTCAATCTGTTCTCGGAGCTCTACTTGGCTCTCTCTGCAAAGAGGTACAAGGCCTACACGGTCAGTTAATGGAACTCAGAGCCACGTCTACACACAGTGCTCCAAATACCGAGACAAGCCACCCTCAGCAGCGGGCACAGCCCCACGCGGTCTTCGCCCCTCAGATCATCTTTCCGGGTCTTCGCGCCTGGCTTCCGCCTCTTAGTCCCGCCCCGCGAAACCAGGCCGAGGCCCCGCCCAAAGCCCCATCCCTCACCTGACGGCGTGGACGTGGGAGTCGAGCTGCTGCACCGCCGGCCGCAGGAACTCTAGGAGGCCCTCCGCGAAGAGGTCGCGGCCTGTGGGCCCCGCCACCGGCGTCCCAGCCCCGGACACGGCGGCAGAACCAACCCCAGCCATCACGAACAGTCCCGACATCCGGAACTTGCCGCGAGGGCCGCCGGGAACTAGAGCTCGCGGAAGTCGGACGCGAGGGGGCGCCGGGGAGATTCTGCGCTGCCCACGCTAGGAAATGGAGTCGCGAGAGGGGGCGGGGCCAAGGCCGGGCGTAGAGCTGGAGGGGAACCAGTTTTCAGATTGCACGCTTTCTGTTTTCTCCAAGTAATAGCGAGTATTCCGAATTGTCCTTCCCATGTTAATTTATAAGAAAACCGTATTACACTCGTGCTATAGTTCTGTATATCTTATTTATTTTAGGTTTTTTTTTTCCCCACCTCAGGATATTTGCGCCTACTGTTTTTTATAACATACAAACGTGACACATCATAAGAACTCATTTGCAATAAAAATGACAATCATGATTTCCCTTTTCCAAGTATTTGTCTCAGGTAGTCCATGGGAGCATCCTTGATTGATATTGATAGGGCCATAGACTTCCACACAAAGTGAGGAATCTCAATTACACAATAACCCAAAATTTCTAAGTAAGTGTTGCTTCTCTTATAGCAGATTTTCCTTTTAAGTGAGGACTATTTCACAAAAAGCTCTTTTTTAAAAAAGCAAAACATGCCAGGCGTGGTGGTACACACCTGTAATCCCAGTACTGGGGAGGCTGAGTCAGGAGGATCACTGTGAGTTCGAGACCAGGCTGGGCTACATAGTGAGTTCCAGGGCAGTCTCAACTACATAGTGAGATCCTGTCTCAAAAAGTCAAATAAATAAATAAATAAATAAAAATAAAAAAGCGAAACATTTATTGGTACATTTTAGGAATACATAATGATAATACTCATCATAGGGAATTTGCACATGTACATGATACCTTCTGCCTCTTTCCTCAAGCCCCATCCCCTCCCTATATATAAAAGTTGTGTTTCCATTTTTTCCTTCTATTTTCAGTTGTTTTCTTCTACAAAAAGCTTTTGAGTCTAAAAATTTGAATGCAATCCTTTCATCATTGGGTGGAAGACTTGATCCGACTATTTGGATGTTAGATTCCCAGTGCATTTTTTGGGGGGGAAGTACTGGGGATTGAACTCAGGACCTTGTGCTTTTTGTTTGTTTGCTTTTTGAGACAGAGTCTCACTATGTAGTTGAGAATGACCTGGAACTTACTACGTAGCCCAGGCTGGTCTGGAACTCACAGCAATCCTCCTGCCTCAGCTTTCGGAGTGCTGGGATTACAGGCATGTGCCACCACATCTGGCTGACCTTGTGCTTTTGAGGCAGGCAGCGGCACTACTGAGCTAAATCCCAGGCTTCCCAGTACATTTTTTTTTGAGACAGGGTCTCATTATGTAGTCGAGACTGACCTGGAACTCACTATGTAGCTCAGGCTGGTCTCGAACTCACAGTGATCCCCCTGCCTCAGTCTCCTAAGTGCTGGGATTACAGGCGTGCACCACCACACCCGGCTCACCGGTACATTTTTGGGGTCCTTTTGCTTTCCAGGCAGGTGGCAGAACCACTGAGCTAAATCCCTGGCCCCACCCAGTACATTCTTGATGGTTTCCCTATAGTTGTATTACAGCTACCATAAGAAAGAGGTTTTTTCTTTTATGCAAGATAAATTCGAAATCTACTGTGTGGTAATAAGGTGAAAGAATGAGGCTTTTTACAAAATTGGGTCCTCCTAGTACCTCTGCTAGAATTTCATTTTATTTAAAACAAATAAATTTTATTTTATCCTATTCCCCCTCATACCCCTCCCCTCCCTATGTACAAAAAGCTTTGTTTCCGTTTTTTCTTCTATTTTCATTTTTTTGTTTGTGCTCCCTTCCTTTCTCCCTCCCCCCTCCCTTGTTCCCCTTCCCACTGAGTATGGACTCAAGGTCCATCCCTCTAGTTATAAATGTCTGAGGCCCATCCTTCTTCATGGCAAAGTAGTACTCCATTGGATAAAAAATGCCCACATCTTCTTTATCCACTCATCAGTTGATGGGCATTTGGGCTGTTTCCAAGATTTAGCTATTGGATGGGGATTTAGCTCAGCGGTTCCACAGCCTGTCTTGCAAGTGCAAGGTTCCAAGTTTGATCCCTGATACCAAACAAACAAAAAAACCAAAACACCAAGATTTAGCTATTACAGTATTACAAACTACTGCTGTAAACATGGGTGTGCATATGTCACTGTGGTATGATTTTTTTTTTTTTGGTGCCGGGATTGAACTCGGGTCCTTGTGCTTGCAAGGCAGGCCACTGAACCGCTG